CCAACCAATAGAATCGCAGCTTAGCTACACAAATCGCGTTTTCGACTGTGATATATATTTTTATTTAGAAATTCATGGCACGGAAGCATTTTCAAAGGAAAATCTAGAGCACATATAGATTGTTAGTATAAGATTCCTATCTACCTTTTGTATTGTTCCTATTGGCACTCCAAGAAGAAAAGAAGGTTGCTTTCTGGGGCTTTGCTTCATCTGCTGGATTCTTGTTAGAATGCACTCTTGTCAGATACTCTTGACGCTCAATCAGTGAAATCTGCGCAACCTCTCTGGCAGCCGTTTGGCTTGTGGTGTTCTTTGCTAATAATGTTTTGTACTTATGCACCCTTCCTGCCATCGCTGACACTGTCTTTGTTGCTCTAACAAGTCTTTTGCTTTTTGTTGCAGTACCAATATCAGAGCCTTCAAACTCATACAACTTATTGAAAGATGACAATTCAATATCATAAGCCAATTGTTTTACAACAACCTCTGACAATCCCACTGTTGCAAGCTCAGCCCGTTGATCTTCAGTGATTACATAGTCTGCCAGTTCAAGGCAGTATCGAAGTTTAGACTTTTCCTTTTTAGGTATCACGTCGTCATCACTGATGTTTGAACTGTGCAATTGCCTAGTATTCAGCTTTTGGAGAGTGTGCAAACTTTCGATGGCATGACATAAACGCAATCCCTTCAAACTGGCTTTAGTAGCCACCTCACTGCTAGTTGGTTGAGCCAAAGCATCAAAAAGGGGATGATCATTGTTGGTTTTTGGCGAATAGTCTTTCTCTTGCTCCATGTCCTCCATGTCATCAACTCCTTGACTTGGCGTTGGTAAAGGAGATGGCAATTCTATGCCAAATTTCAGTTGTTTGGCTACTGGTTCGTCATCATCGTCATCAAAAGTATCCATTCTCCGTTTCACTGGATCCGGTGTTTTGATGCAGGAGAGCTTCACGTTTGCGTTTGCGAGCCGCTGGTTTGTGATCCTTAATTTTTCCTTGTTCTTGGCAAGTTCTTCTTGATAGAGTGACACTGCAGCTGTCTTCATTGAGCAAGTAGGCGAAGCTATTGCAAGGGTGGAAAGAGAAATTGAGGAGATCAACGAAATTCTCAAGAGCCCCACCATTTCGGATGACGACAGAACTTACTATCGGCAAGTGGAAGACAGGCTTTGGGAAGAGAAAAGCCAGCTTTGGCAAGAGAAAAGCCAGCTTTGGCAAGAGAAAAGCCAGCTTTGGCAAGAGAAAAAGAAGTTGTTGTTGATTGAACGCACTCCAGTGCCAAACGCTGCAAACAATGGAAATACGATGGCGATGGGTAAGCACGAACCTTTTGTTTTCGCATATGTTGGTCTCCTTGCTTATTTATCGATATGTATCTCTCATCTGTAACATAATTATTATATCATCCAACAAACATCCATTTCATGTTTTGGGAATATTGCTTGCACACCGAAGGCATTGCACATGATCCAAACTCA